CTGTCCTTGTGTATTTTTGTTTCTTCATCACACTCTTTCTTTATCTTTGAGTAGGTACCCTAGTCCATTTTGTGTTGCTGTAACAAAATACCCGAGGCTGGGTACTTTCTAATGTAAATAGATTTATTTGACTCGTGATTCTGATGCTCGGAGCTTTTAAACAGGCTGGGGCTGACATTGTATCAAAGGTCCTCTTACAGTGTCATAAGAGCAGAAAGTGGGCCAGTGGCACATGGAAAGGGCTAAGCATGTGATGGCCTCCCTATAGCAACCTGCTCTCATGAGAACAAACCGGGGCTTTGAGAGGACTGTATGAATCTCTCCTAAAGACCATTTCCAATGATGTAAATACATTCCATTAAGCTCCACCTCTGAAAAAATTCATTAGTTCTTTGAGAATTTCATATAATACCGTTCGTTCATATTTTCAGATCAACTCCCTGTCTTTCGACCCAACTTTGTGTATGTTCTCCCTGCCCCCTGCCATCAAGGACAATTTGTGCTAGCTAAATATTCTTGAACGATGTCCATCAGAGACTATACTTTTAGAGAAAACTGAGCCTTCCTCCCCCAATAGTTCCTCAGCTCTGGGGTGGAACTTTGTCTTAAGTCCCACATCTACAAAAACATTTACTTATTTTGTTTTTGAGTGAGGACCTGTTGTATGCCAGGCTGGCCTTGAACTTGCTGTGTGGCCGAGGATGACCTTGAATTTCTGATTCTCCTATTTGTACCTCCATGGTGCTATGGTTACAGGCACATACCATCGCATGCAGTTTATGTGGCATGGGGATTGATCCCAGGGCTTCCTGCACAACCGACAGAGCCACATGCCCAGCCTGGTGGAGTAATACCCTCTCCCCCTTCTCCTTTTAAATGTTCTACCCCACCCATCATAACACTGAAGGCTGAACCTCCAGCACATGAACCTTGGTACACACAGACATCAACCAAACTCAGACAGGAAGAGTCCTCAGACTATATCAGTAGATGCATGAATGGATACATGGAAGGAAGGACATTGGAAGAGAGGGCCAGGGAGGGTTTCACGGCAGCACGAATGCACTGTCAATCACAGAGATACTCTAGACTACTTTGGGGCTCCAGAACAGCCTCATCTACCACATTAGAGAACTTTCTAGAGATACTGTGCCCCCACCTCAGACCTCCTGAGTCAGAAACCGGTATGGATCACAACCGTATGAGCCTCATCAGGGCTCTTTCCAAGGCATTCTAATGTATGCTCTGGTTTGTACACCACTACTGTAGACCGCCTTCACTCAGTAGGTGGAGAAATTGAGGCTAGGGTTAGGGAGATGACACGTAGGGACACACACGCACACACCTGCCTGGTGCTGGGAACACATAGCTCAGGGCTCTGCTCTTGCCACTCAACCAGGTTGCCTCACTTTGTCTTGTTACCAGAAGGCACCTTGTATTCACCAGCCACCTTGAAAGCACTGGGATTGAATCTCCACTCTCACAGAGGTTCTGATTTCACTGGGGGCGTGCCAGGACTAAGGAAATACAGCTTCTCATCATTTCTATAGGGCTCCGGGCTGGAGTGGGCTGTTGCATTGCATTTCACCAGAGGTGGCTCTGGCAGCCATGTAATGTGATCGCCCTTGCCTGACTCTCAGCCTGGTTCCCCAGTGCCCAGCACTTGTGATTCAGTTTCCTCTGTGCGTGGGAGAGGACATGTGAGTCATGCCACCGATGCCAGGAGGGGACTAGGAGCCTGGACACTACCCACAAAGTCCACTTTTCTTGCTCAGTTTTGGATTTTTCTAGCACCTTCCAAATGTGTTTTGTAATTCCTGGCCAGACTTCTTTATAGGCATGTTTTCTTTTTTCAGTCAAAATCATTAATAGTATAAAAAACAGCTTAACTCTTCCCTTACCTGGTGCCTTTTCTGATTGCTGGTAGAGACGGTCTTCCTATTGAGTTTTAAGAAACCAGCCTTCTTCTCAGTAGAGGAGTCTAAAATGGCTGATAGACACTTAAGAAAGTGCTCAACATCCCTAGCCATCCGGGAAATGCAAATCAAAACAACTCTTGAGATACCATCTTACTCCTGTCAGAATGCCTAAAATCAAAAACTCTAAGGACAGTTTATGCTGGAGAGGATGTGGAGAAAGGGAACACTCCTTCACTGCTGGTGGGAGTGCCAACTCGTACAGCCACTTTGGAAATAAGTATGGAGATTCCTCAGGAAAATGGGAATAGCAATTCCACTTTTAGGCATATACCCAAAAGATGCACATTCATACAACAAAGGCATCTGCTCCACTATGTTCATAGCAGCATTATTTATAATAGCCAGAACCTGGAAGCAACCTAGATGCCCCTCAACTGAAGAGTGGATAGAGAAAATGTGGTATATTTACACAATGGAGTACCATTCAGTGAAAAAAAAACAATGGAATCTTGAAATTTGCCAGCAAATGGATGGCACTAGAAGAAACCATCCTGAGTGAGGTAACCCAGTCACAAAAAGACAAACGTGGTATGTACTCACTCATATATGGATTTTAGACATGGATCAGGATAGTGCCAGCATACAGTCCCACTGCCAGAGAGTCTGGGAAACAGAACCTTCATCCAGCAACTGATGAAAGCAGAGACAGATACCCACAGACAAACACTGAACTGAACTCCTGGAATCCAGTGACAGAGAGGGGGAACTGATGAGCAAAGGGGTTAAGACTGGGTTGATTTAACCCACAGAAACAAGGGGGAGCTCTTTGACCCCACATTGATGGCTATGTGGAAAGCATGGGACTGACCCAGACACCCTGAAGGTGGGTGTCAGTGAGGAGGCCTAGGTAATCTATGGGGCCTTGGGTAGTATTTATCCCTGCCATACAAATGGACTCTGGCTGCCCATCCCACAATGAGGGATGCTCTCTCAGCCTGGACTCTTGGGGAAAGGCCTAGGTCCTGCCCTGGATGAAATGACAGACTCTGGAGATCCTCCATGGAGGGCCTCACCCTCCCTGGGGATCGGAGTGGAGATTGGATGGGGACTGGGGGGCCTGGTGGGGGTGCGGGGGAGGATAGGAGGGAGAGGGATCTGGGATTGACATGTGAAGCAGGCTTGTTTCTAACTTAAATAAAAAGAAAAGGAATAAAAAGAAATCAGCTTTCTAGTGTGTGTGTGTGTGTGTGTGTGTGTGTGTGTGTGTACCTGTGCATAGGAGTTTGTGCCTATGTAGAAGCACATATGCGATCAGAGGATGCCTTCAGTGTCGCCCCTCAGGTACCATCCTCTGGATTGAGATATGTCTTTCACTACTAGCCTACTACTTCACTAGATAGGTGAGGCTATCTGACCAGCGAGCTCCAGGAATCTTGCTATCTGAATCTGCCATCTCTCTGACTATGGGATTACAGGTACACATGGCCATACCAAGGTTTTATGTGTGTACTGGGGATCTGAATTCAGGTCCTCACGATTGCAAGGAAAATGCTTCAAAATGGAGTCAGCTACTCAACCCTAGTTGTTTGTTTATTGATAGCACCTATCTGAGGGGCTGGAGAGAGGAGTCTCAGGGGTTAGGGATACTTACTATTCTTGCAGAGGACCAGGATTTAGTTCCCAGGACACCACAACCATCTGTATCTCCAGTTCCAGGGGATCTGATGCCTTCTTCTGGCTGCTACAGGCACTGAAAACATACGGTGAACATTCTCACACCCAGGAACACATAGACACATAAAATTATTAAATAAATCTTTAACAAAAATGGCACCAATCTTAGCAGGGATGACTTGTTGACTCTGTGGTGGTTTGAAAGAAAATGCCCCCTCAAAGGGAGCACTATTAGGGGATGTGGCCTTGTTGGAGCAAGTGTGGTCTTGTTGGAGGAAGTGTGTCACTGTGGAGGCAGGCTTTGAGGTCTCATATATGATCAAGACATCACCCAGTGTCTCAGAATACTTCCTGTTGCCTGCAAGCCAAGATGTAGGACTGTCAGCTTCTTCTCCAACACCATGTCTGTCTGCATGCCACCAAGTTACACCATGATGAAAAGGGACTAAACCTTTGAAAATGTAAGCCACCACAATTAAATGTTTTTTCTTTGTAAGAGTTACTATGATCATGGTGTCTCTTCCCAGCAATAGAAATCCTAACTAAGGCAGTCTCTTGGTCTTGACTTTATGTTTAGTGGTTTGGGGCACTTTTCCTATATTTTCTGGCTATTTTTATATCATCCTTGGAGGAATGTCTGCTCAAGTTCCTTTGGGTAGTTTCATTCTACAGATGTCTTTGTATGCTGTAGATATTGATGGCTCTGTAGAAAGGTGTCTTGGGTAGGATTTTATTGCTGTGAAGAGACACCATGACCACAACAATTCTTATAAAGGAAAACATTTAATTGGGGCTGGCTTCCAGTTTAGAGGTTTAGTCCATTATTATCACGGCAGGAAGCATGGCAGCATGCAGGCAGACATGGTGCTGAAGAGGTAGCTGAGAGTTCTACATCTAGATTGACTGGGAGCAGAGAGAATGACACTGGGCCTGACTTGTGCTTCTGAAACCCCAAAGCCCACACCCAGTAACACACTTCCTCCAACAAGGCCACAACTCCCAATAGTGCCAATCCCTATGAGCTTATTGGGGCCATTTTTATTCAAAACACCACAACAAGTAAATTTCAAAATTCCCTCCCATTTTTGGTGCTTTCTTTCTTTGTTGAGAGTGTTCTGAGTTTCACACACCTTTTCATTTTGATACAGTCCATTGCCTGATCCAATCTCATAAAACTTTCTCTCATGTCTTTTTCTAATATTTTTTGCCTCTTTTAGCTTTGATATATAAGTCTTTGAATAATTTTGAGTTAATATTTGCATACAGGATATTGGAAGGTCCAGTTTAATACTTTTGCCTGTGGGTTTTGAGTTTCCCACTGTGTGGCCTTGGCACCTTTCACCAGCATACTCTAGAAGTGATGGGCTTTGTTTGGGATGCTAACACACGTGTGTTTCTCCTACCTAGGAAGCATCACACTGTTCGCATTCATCACCATCATCTTGGGATGCTTGAAAGTTGCGTACTTCATTGGATTTTCGGAGTGCTTGTCAGCCACAGAGGGAGTTTTCCCAGTCACCCATGCCGTGCATACACTGTTGCAGGTAAGTCACCAGGGCTTGTTCATGTCGACTCTGCTCTGGCGCAGTGTGTCCTGAGGTGTGCAAAAGCCCACAGCATCAGCATATCAGCTAGGGCCAAATTTAGAATGTTTCTGTGGTTCCTATCAGGAATAATGAGCTGGTCCAGGCATGCCTCTGGAACACTGGGACTCTTGTTTCCCCTCTTGTGGGCTGGAACCTTTTAGAACAGTATGAGGTTCTTGTTTTCAGCTTGGATGATGAACTTGTTTTTTTTGTTTAAGAAGTTAGGATTTGATAGATGCCATTTAAATACATAATAGGCGGAAAGCATATGCCTGACTTCAGAGGCACTTAGACTCCAGTGCAGCTCCTGGCCTTAGCAGGACTCTGGTGGCCGAGAGTTACTCTGATAAGGAAAGTCATGACCAACATCTTTACAGCACTCAAGGATACACAAAGTGTTTTCTTGTGTGAGTTCTTGTTCTTCAGCTGGTGGCACTATTTGGAGGCCATAGAATCTTTTGAAGGTAGGTCTTGGCTGGTAGAAGTATGCCACTGGGCTGGAATTTTGATGGCCACAAGCACAGCCACTGGGTTTGTCCTTGTTCCTGTCCCTTTCTCTGCTCCTTGTTATGACATGATGTGACAGTCCTCTGTCACACACTCATGCCACCATGAGCATCATGCAGGACTAAACCCTTATGAAACTGAGAGTCCACATAAACCTTCCTCCGTTAAGCTGTTTCTGTCAGGACTTTTGATTCAGTGTTCAGCAACAAATGTAGTGTTCATTGATAAATGAATGGATGAAGAAAGATGCTGTGTATTCACAGTGGGATACTCTTCAACCATAGCAATAGTGAAATTCCACCACTGGTGGCAGCACAATGGAACTGGAGGATGTTACATTAAATGAAATTAGTCCAATATGAAGACAGATCTCATGTAGCCTAGACTGGCCAGGAAGCCTTTGAACTCCTGATATCTCCGCTTCTACCTCTGAAGTTCTTTGTGTTAGTATCACTAGAGATTGAACACAAAGAGACTTACATACTAGGCTGGCACTCTACCAACTGAGTTACATCCTAGCTAGCCAGACATAGAAAGACAAACACCGTGGACAGTAAAAGGTTGATGGTGTGGAGTGCAGAAAAGAATAGTGACTACTAGAGCCTGGGAAGTCTGTAGGTGTGTAAGGGCTGGCAAGAGGCTAGATACAGAGGCCATCTGGATAGGAGCAGGAACTTCTAATGTTCTGTAGCACAGTGGAGGGTGGAGACAGCAATGGGTGGCAGAAATGAGCCGAGTATTTCCAAGTAGCTAGTAGAGTCTGAATGTTCTCAACAGTTAAAGTGGCTCAGCAGTTAAAAGCACGTGTGTGCAAGCCCGCAGACCTGAGTCCAAGCCCTGGAACTCAGGAAGAGGTGGAAGGAGAGAACCAATTACACAAAGTTTTCCCTTGATCTTCACAAGGTACGCGCGTGCGCGTGCACACACACACACACACACACCATACGAACAGAATGACTGCTCATTGCACACTGCACATGTGGGAAGAGCACTGCCCAGCATAGCTGTGTACAGTTAGTGTGCTAGTCAGGAACAAACATATTTTAATGTAAGAACAGATGCTAGATCATCAATCTTTTCTTTACTCTTTGTTATTCTACATATTTAACATGCATAGCATGATGTTTTCACATATGTACACATGGGAGATGATTTGAGTCAAGAAAATTGCTATGTCTGGTATCTCAGTTTCCCTTCTTGATCTTATTAGTGATGAGGGCACTTATAAGTCAGCTCTGGCAAGCCCACAGTAGACAACACAATATCCCGTCTGTAACCCTTATCTTGGCCATCAGCTCTCTAGACAGCCATCCTGCATGCTTGCCAGCTCTTCCCACTCCTTCCCCACTCAGTCTCTGCTCTACTGGGTATTCAAGTCTTCATTTTTGAGATTCCATTCATGGTGGGCTCATGCACTTCCTGTCTTCCTGTTCCTGACATATTTTACTCAGCATAATGTCCCCCAGGTTTGTCTATGTTACCATAGATGATAGAATTAAGTCTTGTGGTTTTCTGAGGCAGTCACTGGAGCTTAGAGAAGACCAGAGATTTGCTTATATTGTGTATGTCAAGAAGCAAAGCTATTTCCTCCTCCAGAGTCACCCTGGAAGACCATGGTTCACTGAAACTTACTGTTCAGAAAAACACCCTTCAGAAACAGGGTTGAACCCCAGGAAGGGAAAGCATCTTTTATTCAGAGACTCTTCTGGTTCACATCCTTCTTAGACTTGGCAGACAGCTCTGATGATTAGGAATGCTTCTAACACACCATTCATCCCAGACAAGACCAGCTGAGAAGAGGTAGCTTGGGTAGTTTGTTTCAGTGGTGCGCTGGCGGGAAAGGCTGAGAGCTCACGAGGGGACAAAGGGGAAGGGGCTGCTTGGCAGGCAAAGCTGTTATGTCCGTTTGATGAATTCCAATTCTCAGCATCTGGGAATGTGCCAGTCGTGGAGGACTGGGCCTTTCAGAGGTCACTGGGGTGGCCCTGATACAATATAACCTATATCCTTACAAGGCAAGCCAGAACACAGGCACACACAGAGGGACAACCCTGTGAGGTCTCACAGTGAAAGGATGTCATCTACAGGTAAGGAGAGGGGCCCCAGGAGAAACCGACTCTGCTGACTTCTTGATAGTTGTATTTAGTTTAATACAACTAACTCTGGGACATGGTGATGATAGCTTGATCAGTTATACCTTCCCAATAGACACATCCACAGTAGATACCCTCAGTTCAATGCATCCCCATCTATAGTAGACATCCTCACTCAAATGTACCCCATCTTTAGTAGACACTCTCAGTCCAATGTACCCCCATTTATAGTAGACATCCTCACCCCAATGCACACCCATCCATAGTAGATACTCTCAATCAAATGCATCCCCATCTATAGTAGACATGCTCACTCAAATACACCCCATCTATAGTAGACATCCTCACTCAAATATACCCCATCTATAGTAGACACTCTCAGTCAATGCACCCCCATTTGTTGTAGACACTCTCAATCAAATGCAGTTTCTCACCTGCAGCAGACATTCTCAGTCAAATTCAACCCTCCATCTGGAAATTTTTGGGAGCCCCATCTGGGGTACTGCAAATTTCTGGGTAAATTAGGGTCCCTTAGTCTCATTAATAAAAGAAATTAAGAAAGTACTGGGGGGGCTGCTCTTCCAGAGGTCCCGAGTTCAATTCTCGGCAACCACAGGGTGACTCACAACCGTCTATAGTGAAACCTGATGCTCCCTTCTGGCATGCAGGTGTACATGCAGGTGTTCATGCAGGTGTTCATGCAGGTGTTCACGCAGGTGTACATGCAGATAATAAATCTTAAAAAAAAGAGTACTCAGAAGAAGCTTGTAGACAGTTTTGTTAGAGTTTAAAACAAAGACAACAGAGATGGCAAGCTGCAAGTCTTGGCTGCTGCCAGGACGTGGAGAGCAAGAGAGTTAGATGTGGATGTTAGCAAGTAGCCACATGGTAGACATGTGGAAGCAGGCTTCAGAGAGAGTGAAGGAGTCCCCCAAAATAGCCAAAAGAAGGAAAACGGGGATTAAAAAGAGAAAAGTTACTCTGAATAATTAAAAATGGGTAAACTTAACCCAGCCCGAGTGGTGCAGTTCTAGTGACCACACAGTGGGTGGGGATTCTGGGTAGGAAAAGTACATTGTCTCATTAAGGGAATAATGATTCCTCCCATATGTTTAGCATAGTGTAAAGTGAATCTACATTCCTGAGAAGTGGTCCCTTGGACAGGTGATTGATGGACACAGCTGAGTTCATCCCTATGTTTTGGGTAGATTGGACTGCTAGGTCTCCACTCAGGCTAGAGATTTTATTCCCTTGGCTAGGAGGAAATACTTTTCCTTAAAGAGTCTCAATAGAACCCTGGCCTTTCAATGCTACTGTAATAATATCCTCAGTCGGATGCTGTCCTCCATTTGCTTTGGATACCCTCAAACACAGTCCTCATCCACTGCAGAAATCCTGAGACCTGACCCTTTAATGACTGGTGCTCTGATCAGGGTGGAAGGGGATAGAAGAGAGTATCTTGCCAGTGTGGTGTGAGGGTACCATGTCTGCCAGGGCAAGACTACTTCTGGTCATATGGGGAGCACATGTATGTGTGAGTGAGTGTGTGTGTGTATGCGCGCGTGCACGTGTGTGTCTATAAGAATGGTTAGGCACGTGCACATTCTTTAGGAGCCACCTGTTCTAGCCAGAATCTCTGCCGCTGTGCAAAAATACCAAAGCACCTCGGTGACAGGGTTTACTTGGCTACAGGCTATGGTCCATCACCAAAGGAGGGCAGGAACTCAAGGAAGGAACCTGGAGGCAGATACCATGAGGGACATTTCTTAATGCCTTGCTCTCTCCGGCTTGCTTACTTAAAAGCTTATTTTTATTTTATGTATATGAGTTCTTTGTCTGCATGATTGTCTGTACTCCTGGAGGCCAGAAGAGGGTATTTGAACCCCTGGAACTAGAGACAGTTGTGAGCTGCCATACAGGTGTTGGGAATTAAATCTTTTCTTCTGGAAGAGCAGCCAGTGCTCTTAACCACTATGCCCTTCCATGCAGATAACATTCTTATACAGCTTAGGTCTACATGCTCAGGGGTGGCATTGCCCACAGTGGGCTGGGATCTCCTACATCAATTAGCAATCAGTAAAATGCCTCACAAACATAGCTATAGGTCAATCTGTTGAAGGTACTTCCTCCGTGGAAGTGACTCTGGATTGTGTCAAGTTGTGGCAGCTGAAGCTAGCTATGACACCATATCTTTTTGTATTTTGAGACAGGTTTCTTACTGGCGTAGGGCTTGACAATCTAGCTAGGTTATTTGCTCAGTGAGCCATGGGGACTCAGTTGTTATATGGCTTCTAGGGATAGGACTCATGGCCTTATGCTTGCACAAGAAGTACTTTACTGAGCCAGCTATCTCCTATGTGGTATATTTCTTTTCTATTTTAACCTTCCTTGACCCAAATTTCTGATAATTAAAGGCTGTATTTATCCTCTGACAATTTTATGCATGCGTATATACACTCTGGTGACATTCATTTTCTCAATCTTTAAACCGTCTCGCACCCACGCTAACACTCCTGTCTTCCACCAAGTCCCCTCCCAGGTTCATGTCTTTTTAGTTTGGTTTTGTCATTGCTTTATTTAACCAGCACCAGCCATGTGAGCTCTGGTACCGGAAACACATTCAGATCCACGGGGAGGCAGCCTGTGCCAGTACCCACGCCTCTCCTTCTGCCCTGCATTGTTAATGATAGCACAGCCGGGGTTCTGGGTAGCATATGTGAGTCAAAAGGAACCCAACCCAAGCCAATGCTGCTCTACACTGTAAGTGCTCAGTTTTTGCTTTCTGGACATTGCTTCACAGTAGCTGCTCATTGGAAAATTATTGGATAAAACCTGACAAGTATGGCTAAAAAACAAGTTAGTGAGTTTCTTGACAAACAGACTGATGCCCACATGCCTGTCTCAGAGTAGACACCCTCAGTCAATTGCAGCACAGCTCCATCCCCAGCAGACATCACCAATCAGGTCTAACTCTACCTTCTCAGGAGACACCCGCAATCAATCAAATACACATCTTCATCCACAGCAGACATTCGTAATTAATTGCAGCACTCTGCCCACCTGACTTTGGAGGCCCCACCTGGCTTCTCACAGCATCCCCATTCCCACTGTAGAAGGGCTCTGCTGAGGACAGCCATCTGCTTCTCCCCAGTCTTATAACTTCTCAATTTATAAGCAGAATGGCAAGCAGAATGGCAGTTTCCCTACTAATGTGTTTTCCTTTATTTCCATCTAGGTCTATTTTCTCTGGGGCCATGCTAAGGATATTATCCTGTCTTTCAAAACGTTGGAAAGGTAAACCATTTCTTTACATGTTGGTTGCTATTTGTTTAGATTAAACGTTTGCAGAATCCAGACTCAGGACTGGCATCCAGATGGGGCTAGAAACCCTGAGAGCAGGTTCCTGCTGCCCCTTAAAGCAAAGCCCTTCTAGAACTTCAGTTAGCTTCCAAGACATTCCTGGAAGACAAGGATGTGGGTGGGAAGTCTGCTGTCACCACCTACTTCCCTTTCACTGCCCTCAGTTTACTCATCTGTGAGGTGGGGAGCAGTGGGGTGGCCTACCTCTGAGGATAAATGTTACAAAGTGCATGGACCTGTATCCATCAAGGGTTAGGCCAGCACCAGTTCTCCCTGGCTGTGATGGGGTCAAGGGAAGAATGTCCAGAAGGAAAGGTGACCTCTCCAAGGGCAGATTAAATATGGATGGATCAAGGAATAAGCACTTGCTCTATGGAAAGATCTAGTATTGTGCACCGTTTCCATGGGGGGAATAAACTCCTCCCTTCTAGCATTTGAGATGACTTTGAGAAGATTGCTTGATGTGTGACCGACGGGTAGAATGGCTTCAACAGACTGCAGATGTAGACATTGAGTCTATTTGCAAGAACATCCTTTGTGTCTCCAGTTTGCACAGGGCTTGTGTTCTGGTGCTGTGGTGGGGCGGGGTGGTGATGATACTGAGGTGTCCTTGAATGTGTGAGTTTGCATCCATCATGTGGCCCAGACAGTGGCCTTGGCAGTGATCTTTAACCTTGGTGTCAGGAATACCAGAAGCCCTACCTCCTGGGCAAGATGGGCAGGGGCTGAAGTATGCTCAACTTGCTCCTGCAAGGGTATGGGTAGTCACTGAGATCCAGGGCCTCCAGAAGCCATCACTGATAACTATTAGGGCTGGTGAAGTGGCTCAGTTGATAGAATGATTGCTTAGCATGCATGGTCCCAGGCCCAATCCCTAGCACTGAATAAACCAGGCACAGTGGTGCTTGTCATTATCCCAGACTCAGAAATCAGAGACAGGAGAGTCAAGAGGTCAAGGGTCATCCTTGGCTATGTAGGGCTATTGAGACTGAGAGCAGCCTAGGCAAAGGCTTCCATGGCCACTATCTGGTCTCTACCCACTTCAGTGTGAGACTATGCTTTCCTGTCTGTTAATGTGTTGAGCAAGGTGGCAAACATTTTGAATGTTTCAGATGCCAACTTCTTTGGAAAAAGTGGAAGATGAGGAAGTCTCAAGCGTATGTCATGACTGAGGCTGGAGTTGTAGCTAGGGTGCTCCTCTAGGGAGAACTGGCCTCACCTGAGGACAGTCCCCACAGCTCCCAGTTACTATGCTGGCTGAGTCCTACGGGCTTATGAGCTTGCTAGCCTGCATGAGCAGTATGATTGCCTCTATCCCGCCACCTCCTTTGTCAGTGGCTTCTGGAGGGTTTCTTCCAGGTAGGGAATGCCCTTTATGGGATTCCACCCATCTCTTTCCCCAGACATGCAGTTGAGTGGGACCATGGGTCTTCACACATCTCAGGAAGCCCAGATGGATACCAGAGATGACTCCTGGGATGCATCCTGTCGCTGTGGTCTGGGTGTACAGGCACTAAGTGTGGGGAGGGCCTCAGGAATAGGACATGGCACTTACCCTTAACTTGAAGGACTTTTTTCAAATTGGCCTTGGAAGGCTATGGTTTTCAGGGTGCTGCATGGCCAAACGGCATGACCTTTGGTGACCTCGTACTGCTTTGGTGGCTTCAGCAGGCTCAGGACTGGGCACTGCTGCATGGAGCAGGGAAAGGGGAAACAGAAGGGCAGCTGTGTGCACTGTAATAAAAAGGAATCCACCTGCCAGAGCTGATGGCATTGTCTGGTCTGTGAAAGGCTGTATAGAGAAAGTGGGCTGTGAGTTGTAGCAACAGGGCAGGCATAGAGCCAGGCCAATGGACAGACACCCGGGTTGTCTGTTTTTTTTCCCCTGCATTAGATCTGGTAGTTGGGCAGATGCCAAGATGGCCATATCACACAACAAGGTACTGACTTGCCCTGGTTCTTGGGATACGCAGGCTCAGCTGGGGTAGACACTCAGGGGAGAGGCAGGGAGGACCAGAACAAAGATGGTCTTGTTGTCCCATAAGTCAATCATGGATAGGTGGTCTTTGAGCCAGACAGGCGAGCAAACATGGCTGTCTCTGGGTATGACAGGGGAGTACCCACAGCTGCCTTTAGATTTTCCTCCCCAGTCTATTGTTGGATTGCCTTTCCTAGATAGCCAGGATGCTGTGCCTGTAGAGTGCCTGGAAGCTACCTTAAGTGGATACAGCTGCAGCCTGAAGCCACAGCAGGATGTAGGGAATTCACAGCAGACAGGGACCACATGGGCACCGTGTCTTCTCGTCTGTCTTCTAGAATCCAGTGTTCACCCTCTTCCTGATGAGATGGTGTGGTTTAGAGGTTAAGATTTTCTCCATTATTTCAGCTCTAGGTGTGACAGTGGGGGGATTTCTGAGCCTCCTGTCATCTGGAGCAGGCCTCTGCTGTGTTACACTCTGCTGTCCTCCATGGCTTCATCCCATGCCGGTTGGCTCATGTTTACAAGATGATGGCCACAACCTCAGCCTTCATGTCCTCACTCAAGACTGTTACAGGAGACTATGTTGAAAGGAAAAGGGGTCCATAAACAGGCTTTTATAGTTCTTTTATTGGCAGGTGGGAAATCAGAGGAATGGACAGCAATGACTTTTGTGTTAGCTACATGGTGTCTCTGTCCTTTGTCTTTTTTCCCTGTCACTTTGTTCAAAATTCCCACCTAGCTAAATTCTGCCTGTCCATTGGTCAAACCAACTTTACTCACTAACCAATAAAACCAACACATATTTACAACACACAAAATCCCTCCAACATCAGGGGCCCGTAAACAGGCTTTTATAGTTCTTTTACTGGCAGGTGGGAAAGCAGAGGGAATGGACGCGATGATTTCTGGGTAGGTCAATCAACAGTGAGGGTGAACCTACTGTCCACAGTCCACCTGTCCCATCCATCTCCTTCATTGTTCTCTCTTTGTTTCCCCTTTGGAGAAGAGTGGGCTCTGGGTGTGGTTGCTTGCCTTTAGTAAATTTTCTTTCCTGTATCCCTGTTCCCAAGATGCAGTGTCTTTGATGTCTCACAGACAATGAGTTGAAGATGGGCAAGTGCAAGGTGAAGGCAGAATGCCCAGATGCTATGACTCTCAGCCAGCTGGACCGACGGCTGAGGGAGGAGAATTGTGTGTGTGCGCACATGCGTAGGATGTCTCAGTCTTACCTATGGGGCCGGTACTTTCCCAGGGTCCCTGCAGGGAAGGTGTCTGATATTTGTACGTTTCAGGTTCGGGGTGATCCACTCAGTGTTCACGAACCTGCTGCTGTGGGCCAACAGCGTCCTGAATGAATCAAAGCACCAACTGAATGAGCACAAGGAACGGCTTATCACTCTGGGCTTCGGCAACATCACCATAGGTGAGGAAGCCTTTCCCTGCTGGACCATCCAGGTCCCTAGGGAGCCACCTGGGCAGATAGACCCTACTGTGGACTGTTTTCGTAGCCCCACATGCCTTTATTCTGCCTCCCCAAGGCAGTAATTATAGGCTTCACCTGGCTTGGGCATAGGGAGACCCAGGGTTATCATTTGGCTGTCTGTCTCTCACGGCCCATTGGCTGGAGAACTCTGTGCCTGTTTTCCACTGTGGAAGATTGGTGGGTTTCTCTGTTGGCGTTTTAATTAGAACCTTTTCAGCAAATCCTTCTTCTGAGAGGTTGGTCTGTGAGCCCTGGGAAGCTCTCAGTCTGCCTTTGTGCTTGGGAAGGTTTTTAGCTGACTGCATTTGGCTCATTACTGGGGCTCATCTTTATCTTTCCCTTGCTCTGCTGGGGAGACAGCCTGGAGTGGAGGTTGATCCCCCAGTCTTCTCCTGGAGTTCTTGAGTGTGTACGACTTCACCACACCTTTCTGAGAGCATCTGGACTGAGAAGAAGGCAGGGTGGAGCACGGTGCCCTGGGAAGTGGAGAACTTGAGTTTGGGTCTTGTTTTCATCAGGTGTTAGCTGTGTGGTCTTTGGAGGCCATTCAACCTCTCTGGTCCTGCCTTTCCTTTTTGTAAAGTAACTCTGTGCTTTCAAAGATCCTTCCAGCTGCAGCCTTCTGTGAGTGGAACTAGGCAGGTATGTGGCTATGTCAGGCTACATAAGTGACTTCTGCAACCTTCTGTGGGAAGGGATCTTTGTTTTTGGCCCCATTCCCTCTTGGTTACAATAGCAGTCACAGCAGTGACAGTTCATAATAGAAGCAAAATTTTATTAGGCACTGCCTGGCTTTTATTAGGTATGTGTTGACTACCAGGCAGGGCTCTAAGTGTTTTACAAGGCTCATTAGCTCTGGCCTGGCCTTCCTCTGAGGTGGGCAGTATTAGCTATAAATGGTAGATTTTGCTACTGAAGCGATGTGTCTGAGGTTGCACAGCCAGCAAGAGATTGGAAAGTCTTTGAGCATCTCATACCATTTTAGTGGCATTAGTGATCTTTTTCCAATCAGAAGGGACATTTCCCACAGAGCCTTGAAAGGCATAGTCTACACACACACACACACACACACACACACACACACACACACACACACACCCATAGTCAAGAGAAAATTATGTATCATAGGAAAGCAAGATCTAGAAGAAACCCCTGCCTCTTCCCACCAAAGAGAATTGCCACTACCCTTCTGGTTTATGTACTTCCTGATCTTTACTGTTTGCGAATCAACCAATCACTGTCACTCCTCTCTCTTACACAGGTGGTCCCACAGTCTTAGCCCCCTTTAGCAGCCTGCTTTTGAAATCAGCGGTAGCTCTGGACCATCTTCATGTGGTGACTAGTAAATCTCTACAATGTTATTTATAATAGTGTCGTTGAACACGAACCTACAGATAAAACATGGCTGATGCCATTCTGGGGGCGAATCCGAGCTTCTTTTTCTATGTAGTTATGGCATTAAACATGGTGTTAGACACAGTGCATGTACATTTTGGGTCTAGTAGCAAGGTCCAGGCTGATGGGCTTGCTAGTCTCCTTGATGCCTGTTCTGATGGCTGTCTTCTGCCCTCTACCTACTGCCATAGTTTTGGATGACCACACACCACAGTGTAACTGCACACCACCTGCCCTCTGCTCTGCCCTCTCCCACGGAATCTACTATCTGTATCCCTTCAACATCGAGTACCAGATCCTGGCCTCTACCATGTTCTATGTGCTGTGGAAGAACATTGGGCGCAGGGTGGACAACTCCAGGCACCAGAAGATGCAATGTAGATTCGACGGGGTCCTGGTGGGCGCGGTACTGGGCCTGACAGTGCTGGCTGCCACCATCGCAGTGGTTGTGGTGTACATGATCCACATCGGGCGCTCCAAGTCCAAGAGCGAGTCGGCGCTCATCTTGTTCTATTTGTATGCTATTACCGTGTTGCTGCTTATGGGGGCTGCTGGACTAGTAGGAAGCTGGATTTACAGGGTGGATGAGAAATCTCTGGACGAGTCCAAGAACCCTGCTCGCAAGCTGGATGCAGACCTCTTGGTGGCCACAGCCTCGGGCTCATGGCTCCTCTCCTGGGGCTCCATTCTGGCCATCGCCTGTGCTGAGACCCGCCCGTCATACACCTGGTATAATCTGCCCTACTCAGTCCTGGTGATCGTGGAGAAGTATGTCCAGAACCTTTTCATCATCGAGTCGGTGCACCTCGAGCCCGAGGGGATCCCCGAGGATGTGCGCACTCTGCGCGTGGTCACCGTCTGCAGTGGTGAAGCCGCCACACTGGCTGCATCCAGTCTCGGGAGCCAGAGGTTGGCTCAGGATGCCTCGCCTGCGGTCAATGGGAATCTGTGTCTGCAGCAGGGATGCGGTAAAGAGGACCAGGAGGCTGGCCAGGAAGGGGCTGCGGGCACAGCCCGATGTCTGGACTTCCTGCAGGGTGGAGTCAAGAGGAGGCTCCTTAGGAACATCACAGCCTTTCTGTTCCTTTGCAACATCTCGGTAATCTTTGCTTCCTCCCTCCCTCCCTCCCTCCCTCCCTCCCTCCCTCCCTCCCTCCCTCCCTCCCTCCCTCCCTCCCTCCCTCCCTTCCTTCCGCCCTCTCCTCACCCCCTTCTCCCTCCCCACCTTTCTCCGTGTGTGTGTGTGTGTGTGTGTGTGTGTGTGTGTGTGTACAAGTGTGTGGAGGCCAGAAGTTGATGTTGAAATGATTCCTCAGTAGATTCTCTACCCTGTTTTTATGAGCTGGCCTCCCTCACTGAATCCTGTGCTGTTAGTTGGTTAGAATAGCTGGCCAGTGAATCCAGGGAACCCCCTGTCTTCACTGCAGCCCCTCAGCTCTGAAGTTATGGGTACATGCCTCTCTGCCAGGCTTTTTATGTGGTTCTCATGCTCACCCAGCAGGTACTTTCCCATTGACCATCTCCCTAGTCCTAAGTATTCAAATCAACCAATATTGTCCTCACCTTTTCCCAACAAGGCACAGGAGCTGTTATAAAAATAGGAAATCCCCTCCGGCAAATGAGTGAGACTGACTGCTGGGATAGAGCGGGGAGGCTACTGCGATAGCCCTAGCAGAGGGATGGCCTGGGTGGGTAGAGGTGGAGACTCACGTGGATAGGGTGGTGGGAAGATGTGAGCGGGGCCGAGGGAAAACACAGACGATACTGGGAGCTTGGAGCAAGCATCTGGGAGGAAGGGGCCATTGACAAGGGAGAACGGGAAAGGCAGCAGCTGAGTCTGAGATGTGCTCAGAACTCTCAAGTGGAAAATACGTCCTGGGGTCCCAAGAGTGGCTCCGATGGGGGGTTTAGGCGGAAGCCAAAGGCCTCCTCCTGCTGGAGTTTGTGACCAAGGCTGAGGTGACAGCCCTAGGAGACATATGCAAGGAGAAGGGGAGGGGACTCCTGAAGCAATGAGCAAATGAGGAGCTAGAAGAGGGACTGTTGATGGGAAAAGGTCTGAGATGGAAGGGAGAAGCCTAGGAAGCCAAAGGGAAAAAGGTGGAACAGGGTATACAAGCTATGTCTCTTAGAGCAACCCACAGTGGCCTACCTACTTCTGTTTCACCTTGTAATGGTCCATCCATCTATGAATCTATCCTGGGTTAGCCCACAGATGAAGTTAGTTCCCAGGTGACCTAGTAAACTTCTAGTAGCCTGTCAGCTGGGGACCAGGGCTGTGACACTTGCACCTTGGGGGCGTTATCAGTGAACCTGCAGCAGAAGGTTGCCTCTCTTGGCACGATTCCAGGCGAAATGGTGATGGAAGGCTGCATGTTCTCTTTCAGCTTTGGATCCCCCCTGCCTTTGGCTGCCGCCCTGAGTATGACAACGGATTGGAGGAAATTGTCTTCGGCTTTGAACCCTGGATAATTGTGGTCAACCTGGCCATGCCCTTCTCTATTTTCTACCGGATGCACGCAGCTGCTGCCCTCTTTGAGGTCTATTGTAAGATCTAGCTTGAGTCCTCATGAAAGGGGAAAGGACACTGGAACAAGGGGGCTCTTCAGCCACCCGGGCAGGGCTGGGCTGAGCAAACACTGTCTGACAAAGGCCGGAAGGATGCCTTTTGTCTGCTTGACCGTGTGTCTGGAGGTGCCCTTGTCCTGGGTGACAGTGAACAGTTGGATCAACTGCACAAGGTGGTTGGAGCCTGCTCCTGGTCAGCCAATTCCAATCGGATCCAAAATGATTTGAGCTCCTTTTGGCTGAGACTCTGGGTTTTAGAGGAAGGCGATCCAAGTTTGGGGGGGAAATGATAGGGTTTTTCATAGTGTGCATTTCCTGTCTGTAATTTATGCGAGTGTATACAACTTTTTCCTGTCCATCTGTGTTGCAATCAATTAAAAACATTTTTTCCTTCTCAGGGCTACTAAGTTTAGAAACAAATGCACTTTAGTTTGTAGTTTAATTTTTGAGCTGGTTTAATTTTTGACAAAATTTCTTTTAATTAACTGCATGGGAATGCATATCTAGATTAATGCAAACGTTTAGTGTTATCTAAAATTTTGGTTCATTTTTATTTGTGATCAATTTGAAGTATTACAAAATTTCTGTTCTCTTTTTTTGCTACATCTAGCTCCAATTAATTATGTAAAAATCTGCATACTTTGGAACTGGAGACAGGAAAAATTACCCATATTGCATTGTTAACAGTTACTTTGAACACTGCGGCACATCTTTTGGCTGTGAGACGTGTAGAATTATTTTTAATTGTTGTACCCACTAGTGATAACCTGGCATTTCTAATTTTATCTTCATGCTTTCCTACTTGACAATATGATGACACCTTTCCCTACACTGTCATAAACTCCTTACAAACATCACTTTACTGTTGTCAGCTAGTTTGTCAAACCAATGCACCACAGTTGACTTCCTTTGCCTCTGTTGGTTTTAAAGTGCTCATAATTTTGCTTTCTTAATTGGCTCTGCAATCAACCATGTTTGTAAAACATTTCTTTTATTTAAAATTGCTTTTAAAGAGAGATGGTTGGCCTTTCATGTACATTGGTCCCACATCTGCATTCAGCCAACTTGGAAGAATGTTTTTAAGAATTGGGTCTTGGGCCCAGGGAGATGGCTTGCTGCTCTCAAAGAGGACCAGAGTTTGGCTCCTAGCATGGCATCAGTTGGTTTACAACTGGCTGTAATTCTGGCTCCAGAGGAGTTGACATTGTTTTATGGCCTCTAAGGACACCTGCACTCACACTCAAGAGTGTACTTCCCTCACCCGACAAATAAAGGAATTGCCTATTATGTTTTTTTCTTGATATTTACCTCTAAACAAAATAACCTATCATCCATTTTATGTGGCATTTGCATGGTGGTGGTGGTGGTGGTGGTGGTGGTGGTGGTGGTGTGTGTGTGTGTGTGTGTGTGTGCGTGTGCGCTCGCGCGCGTGTGTTTTGAGACAGGGTCTTGTATCTTAGCTAGGATCTAGCCAAGGATGACGTTTTTTACTCCTGATTCTCTTGTTCCCACCTCCCAAGTGATGGGGTTACTGGCTTGTTCTGCCATATGTAGTTTTATGCGACTCTGGGGAATTGAACCCTGGGTCACATGTACCACCTGAGTGAACCATATCTCCAGACCCTTATTAGGTATTTTAAATGACCTAGAGAGTATCTGAAACCTACAAGAGGAGATGCACAGGTTGTATTCCCATACACCACCCTGTTGCTAAAGGACTTGAGCACCCTTGGGTTCAGGTAGCAACATAGGTACCTGGGACCAGTCCCCTATGGACAGCAAGGGACATCAGGAAACCACTCTCAAAGCTTGTGAACATTTTTTTTGGTATTCTGAGACAGGGTTTCTCTGTAGCTTTGGAGCCTGTCCTAGAACTCACTCTGTAGACCAGGCTGGCCTTGAACTCACAGAGGTCTGCCTGTCTCTGCCTCCCAAATGTTGGGATTGGAGGTGTGCACCACCACCACCAGACTGCTTGTAAACATTTTAAAGTCTCCTAAGGAATACCGACACTGGGGATAAGTCTTTAGATGATATTTACAGAACTATTTTGAAACTGTAATACAGCAAGTGTACTGATGGTAAGTACCAGTTTTTTTGCCCTGAATGAGAAAAACACTTTATATCTGTTTTAGGGGAAAGAAGCTTTAAAAACTAGGCATACATCCTAAAAATTAAAGATGTTTAGAACACCTTCCTTGTAGAACACTGGTTCTCAGCCCAGGGTCTTAGCCCCCAGAGGACATATGGTGTTATCTGCAGACATGTTTAGTTGCTCTCAATATGGGAGCTGTTGTCACCTAGTGGGAGAGACCAGGGACACTTCTGAACATCGTACAATACAGAGGAGAGCTCTGACCCTGAAGAACCTTCTGGTCTCAAATAATGAGTGGTACACTGAGGTTGAGAAATCATTATGCAGGCACAGTGGCTATTAACTTGGAGTTCCTAGGCACCTGCTAGTAAGCACACACACACACACACACACACACACACACACACACACACACACACACACACATACATGTGCACCCTAAACAAGGTCATTCTTATACGAATTGAACTTGGATGTAACTTGCTGTCTCTTCTTAACTCTACATGCTTCTCAGCCATTTCCCAATCCCCACGGCACGGTTCTCACCCTTTACCCTGCACAGGGATCACCTTGGGACTTCACAGTGACTCCTGCCCTCCTGGCTGCAAGTCCAGATGCAGTGAGTCTGGAGCGGCCGAGGCCTGCCCTTTTCATCAGCATCTTGTTAACCCCTCCCCTGCAGAAGCATCTATTTTGGAGCCTGTCATGTAATTCGTTACTGTTAAGGCTCTCATGATGTTGGAATATAATTATGGGTGACTTTGGAGACCATTTCCAAGAGACTTATACCTAAAGCTTACTCTAGAGCCAGTATTTATTAGGAGACTCTAAAATGATTCTAAGCTTTGATTTACACCATTCTATTTGGTACTCTGTGACTTAGGACATTCTGGCACATCCAGGAATTTTCTTTTGTTGTTGCTATCCCAAACTGCACCATGCAGAACACTTTTATTTCCGAGTCTTTGGATTTTCCCAGAGTCCTGTTTTATACTGGCCCAGCAATCATGGCATGAGAATGCATTTCTGAATTTTGGTTGGCATGAGCTTGGCCCCTCTTCCAAGTCTCCAGCAGTCTGGAGGACTCAGTTTCTGTATGTAGGCTTCTGCTAAGAAGAGGGAGGGAGCCATAACGTTGAACCTGACTGACCAGGCTGTAATAAGAGTGACCAAATTTGAGCTTGGCCAAGTCAACATGGTCTCATTGGGCTCAGAGTCTTTTAGGGGTAATTATTACAAGGAGTGACCTACATTACCCCAACAGCAGGCTGAGCTGTGGTTCTCATCTGCTAGCCATTAGGCTTTCTGCCTTAGCTTTGGCAAAGGGAAAATTCATTTTCTTCATGCTGGGGCAATTCACAGGGTGAAAACTGAATCGAACAATATCCCCAAGCTGTAGGTTCTCAGTGCTAGAATGAAGGAAACACGAATTAAGGCAGCGATAAATGGATTTCCCCCACATCCAACTGGCAAGACTTGGCAAGACACACTGATATCTTTTCTGTTACTATGATACAATATGATACAGCTGAGTCTGGGAATCTATTGAGAAAAGAGATTTACTTATTTCATACTTTTGGAGATTGTAAGTCCAATTAGCATGGGTCGGCTCTGCTTCTATCTGGTGAGGGCCTTGGAGCATGGTATTGTGGGCAGATCAAGAAGGAGGTTTCAGGACAGAACAAGGAGTCTGAGGCAAGGGAAGGTCAAGGTTCCTCTTACAGAAACACTCTAATGAGGACTAACTCTGTCTTATAAGAACTGGTTTAATCCCTCTGAGGGCATGTCCTCAGTGACTGAACCTCCTCCCACTAGACTCCACCTTCGGAATGTCCCATCATCTCTCACCATCACCACCTGGAGGACAGAGCCTCTGACACATGAATCCTTGGAGGATATCCTATGTCCGAGTCACAGCAGTGTGAAAGAAAGAGGACCCATGGTGACTGTGCGTGAGAGATGAGCTCGTAAGAACCAGCCTGAGTAGCTGCTGGCAATAGATGCTGAGTGAGGCTGGGCGTACTCATTTCCAAAGACTGAGCACTTCCAGACCTCTAGAGACTCTTAAGACCTGCTCGGCAGTGGCCAGGTGTTCACAGCAGCATTTCCTGAAACAGGGAAAAGTGGAGAGCATCCTGGACGTTTGTCAGGAGTGTGGATACAATGTGGACTGCTCCCACAGTAAGTACCTGAAGGGATGAAAGAGGATGGCTCAAAACTCAGTATTTCAATGTGGACATTCCTCAAACAATGTTCAAGAAGAAAAAACACATAGCGTGGAAGTATAGACACATGAAGTCACCAACAAGATGCTTAGAAACAGGGCAATCTCAGACATGCTAATACTCTGGGAGACGATCTGGACATCGTGAGCTAGGAAGTCACAGATATCTTAGGAAATAACACCAAGTTCAGTGTGGTGAGCAGGAATGGGGCTGGATGGAGACCACAGTTCAAGTATCCACAAATTCTCTCTCTCTCTCTCTCTCTCTCTCTCTCTCTCTCTCTCTCTCTCTCTCTCTCTCTCTCTCTCTCTCTCCCCCCCTCTGTCTCTCTGAGACAGGGTTTCTCTATGTATCCCTGGCTGTCCTGGAACTTGTCTGTAGACCAGGTTGGCTTCAAACTCACAGAGATCCTTCTGCCTCCACCACCTGAGTGCTGGGATTAAAGGCGTGTACCATCACGACACCATATTTTCACTCTTAAGCAAGGGGGGGCACCCTTGTGTTCCCTTTGGTACTTTTTATATGAGTGAGATGTCTTATAGCAAGAACATCTAAAAGAAAGAAGAAGAATATAGAAATTGGACAGAGCTACCACAGGAGGTTTTCAACACTCATTCATGGTGGTTGAGAGGTGGGTGTCTGAGCCAGGTGTGCTCTGGTCTCCAAGGTAGTAGATCCCCCAAAGTGAGGTAGCTCAATGCCGGCAGCTGTTAACACATGACTCAGTCCCCAGAGAGAACCATGTGCTCAGCATCAGACACGACACTGATTTCTTTCCTCATACAGTTCCAAGTGCCATGGTAGCCTTACTGCAATGGGTCCCTCAATGTCAAATGCTGACATGCTAATTCCAAGGTAATGGTCTGAAGAACCTTTAGCAGGAGTCAGGTCCTGGTGGTAATGGCCTAGTTTTATTTCCATTGCCATGACAAAATACCCAGACACAAAAGCAACTTAGGAGAGAGGGGGTTGATTTTAACTCACAGTTCCAGGTTGTAAGTCCATAATAGAGACGTCAACGCAGCAGGAATGTAAAACAGCCCATTTGCTTGCCGGTGCTCAGCGTGATTTCTCATACAGTCCAGGATCCTTTTCTTAGGGAATGGTGCCTCTCACAGTGGGCTGAGTCTGCCTCTACCAGTCAATTTAACTAAGACCCCCCCCCTGGACAGAAGCAACCTATTTTGGAGAGTCAGTCATTGAGACTTTTCCCTGGTGGTTCTAAGTTGCGTCAACTTGACAAAACCAACCATTGCAGGCTCTCATAATAAGAAAAGGTCTGAGAGCCACCAGCAAACCTTCAGACCTTGGGAGAGGGCACAAGGAGAAGGCTAGCCACCTGTAACTTGGGAAAGAGATCTCACCAGCGCACAAGAGTGAGCTCACTCTCTGAGAGCTATGGCATCCAACCTCAAGACAGTGGTCGGCCAGACCCCCAGTTTGTGATGTTCTGTTTCAGCACCTGAGCTGACTGAGGCTCTTCTGTCAGGGGCATAACCTCATACAGAGAGCTGTGTGGCTGTGGAGCCTTGGACTCAATCCTGAGTCTGTGTGGCCAGGACCCAAGGTAGTGTTTACTATAACGGTGGCTCTGACTACGGATGTGGCAAAGTTCAAGGGCAACGGTTTACAACTCTTTCAAGGTCATCATGGATCCTTGGCTCTTCATATGTTAGGAAAAGTATCCTTCCCACTAGACCTTTCCCCAACTGCTGAGTCCCACCTTCAGGGTCTCCTAGCCTTGGCAAGTCAGGTCATGCCATCGTCTATCTCCCCACTACAAACATCTGTCATGAAATCCAGCCAGTCTCCCCACTGTCCTTGTGTTCAGCGTCCCTCTTTACCAGCATATATGCCTGTGACCTGAACAGGTAACATCACCACTCCTACAAATCTCTAGTCTGTGAGCCACTTACAATCTGTAATAAGAAACTCACTTCAGAAAAATATCAGTGGCTCAGTATCTT